CCCACATGCATGTTTGACTGCTAGGAAAGGCTCGCAGTCCTAACAAGAAGCCCAAAATAGGTGGGACTGGAAACTGCTTTGTTGTCCTCCAGCATTTGCTGGCATCTCTGCAAGATATCCTGCTCCTCTACATCACCATAACTTCCTTCAGTGGCTGCAGACTCACCATTTGCCATCATCTTTGGGCACGTAGACTCCAAATATATACATGCCCTTGTTTGTTATTTGCTTGATATCTTTTCACTCACTGAAGTAATCTTTCAACTCAAAAAGAGAATATGTGTGTGGCTTTCTTTTGTCAGATATGCTGCTGTCTATTGAAGTCATAAACTATCCAAAATGTGTCCTGGAGATTACTAGTGTTTCTGGAGAAGACTAGTTGGGGGATATCACTTGGGCCTATTTTGCACATTAAAAAATCTATCTAGATTTCTATTTACTGAAATAAATGTAAGAATGCAATTATAACCTGAAGGAAGGCTCCTCTAAAGCACAGTGTATTTCTAAACTTGCAAGTGCTACATGGGGAGTTTCATTTTATTGTTTATGGTTTTGCCTGCCAGTCAGGAGTGTTTTGGCTCCAAGGGGGATGGACAATTGTGCCTGTTTTTGAAGAAACCATGCTTTTGAAAGGCATCAGAGAAGATACACAAAAGGAAGCAAGGCTTGCAAAACAGCTTCTTTGAGATAACATTGCCAAGGCAAACGCTGCTGAAGGTTGATTTATCTAAGGGATGTGTGGCTTCAGAGAAGTTTGTCTTTCATGAATCATCCATCCTCTCTCACTTTGCCAGTGGCAAGGATTGAAGCATCTAAAATAGAGGTTTCTGCTCAGCTACCCTGAAGCACTTAAAACAGTATTTATCGGAGCGCCCCAAGGGCAGCAATGTGTGCCCCAAGGAGGCCATGCTGAGGATACCTAAAACAGCCTTTAAAATAAAAACCATTCTTGACACTTGAAAAAAAAGTCTTCAATTAAACAGCACAAGGAGCATGTGTTAAGGGTTGGGTCTGAGCTTCATCTGAGCACTGAGGAAGCACAGGCGTGGCCTGGGCCACGGCAGCTGAGTCCCCAGCTGCACTAGCAAAACAGTTACACTGATACAAAATCAGATAAATGCTCTGGAGAATCAGAGCTTTTTTTAGTAAACATAAATGTATGAAGTGTGCAAGTAACCACATAAGTTCAAACTTTCTTGGATTTTGCCAGCTATAAGCTCGATGATGCGTCAGTCAATGTCAGTAACATTCAAAATGTTACTGAGAATAAATAGCAATGAAGCAAAAGGCGATGTCTACTCTTGGATGATAACATTTAAAGAAAATAGCTAAAGTGCCCAATCTGGCTGTTGGCAGATAATTGATTTTCTGAATTGATGTAAAGCCAATGATCCTGAAGAACAGAGATAAACAGACAGATATTTCAGGGTTTGTGTCATACCCAGACTGTTCTATGAGTAAACTCATAATATGTTTATCTCAGGGAAGTTGCCAAAAATCACTAGTTCCTTGACTTCTTGAAGTGTATAACTTCCCAGCAAAGGCTAGAGCTGCCAAGGCAGTTTGATTAAACAATTGGTTGTATCTCTATGAGCCAAAGGAAGCATAGCTGTGAAAAGAGGCTCATTTTGACATGCTCAATGTTTGATATTCCTACTCTGTAACCAGTGCCAAATGGCAAATGTATTTAGATTCTCAATTAGGTAATCATGGCAGCATTGTCGAAGAAAATTGCCTACCTTCAACATAGTATTGTGCCATCTTGGTTTTTAGCTCTTGTAGATCTTGACATTTTATTTTGATCGTAGTGCTGGTTATCTCCAGCTACAATCTGCCTTTTCATGTTAAACATTTCAAAATATTTTTGTTGAAGCAGACATTTAATTTGTACAATTTTGAAACCTCTTGAAGATTACATATTTGAAGCCATATATTCAAGTCAAAGAAATTATGAAATAATAGCAAGCAAAAGAGTGAGGAAACTCCTCAGCTCTACTCTTCAAGTCTGCACACTGTAGTACAGTATGTAGTCACATGATTCAGATACTGCCTTTATGATAGATTCTTCACCACTATAAAATTAGGCCACAATATGTTGTAGATTAGTCTGGTGCTTAGGACATCTGAGTCTTATCATCTACAGTTGTTTAGTGCCCTATGAGTGATTCAGTATGTTACTGAAGGAAGAGAAAGAGACATGTGAACTTAAATTTAGTGCTACCCAAAACCAAGTTATGAAGAGTTAGGCTTTGAAAATACTCTTTATGCTTCATGCAAAGGCTTAATCAGTTTAGATCTTCATTCTTTACCTTTTGTTTGCTGATTATCAGTCTTGCATTTAAAACTCACTACAGTAGTCAATGAGGAACAAATTGCCCTATCTGTTACAATGAGGTTATGGATTTTCCTCATCCTGACCCGTGCACTTCTTCCAAAGTCATTCCTGCACAGCAAAGAAAAGAAGACAGTTGTTCTTCAGGACAGAAGCAAATGTCACTTGTGGCTGAGGGATCCCTGGTGAAATCTTGTGGACTTCTGTGGGCTCAGCTTTCTATTTACAAACTTCTTTCTTTCATTTTTTTGACATGCTGCTGAAAAGCATTGGTTGGTTTCTCACATCATCTTCTATACAACGTCATTCAAAGCGCCATCCAGGCTCTAGGTCATTTCATCATGCAGAATTATCTTACATATCTTCCTTTAACTGCTTCCTTCTCAGCCTTGAATCATACACTCAGGAAAAAATTAGTTGTGCTAACTGTCAGATGTTGTTTAAATACTCATTGTGATATGATTAGAGGACAGAGTTAACAAAGCCTAATGCTGCTTGCACCCCAAACTCCTACTTTCCAAAACAGACAATAGCCTAAGTCTGCCACTTCTGTCACTGCAGCCATGGCCACCCTGTGGGTGGGATGGGCTGTCCAAATTTTATCGATTTCTGACATCACTAATCAAAAAAAAAACCTCAAAAAAATCCATGGAAAGTCTGCAGTATAGCAACCTCTCTGGGATTATCAGACATGCATGAGATGAGATACAGGTACCATCACTTCTTCAGTGAAATGCTCTAGTAGTTATTGGAACACCCTTTAGAAAGCATTGATGGTTGTGCAAAGTTTGATCTGTTGGAAGAAGAATAGAGCCTCAATCTGGACTGGTAACATCCTGAAAATGCCAGATGAATTAATCTGCTTCACACATCTCATCTCAACAATTTTGCCTCATGCAGTCGAGAGCTTGCTATAATTAAGGCTAACTTAAGAAACAGAAGAAACAGACTACAGTAAATAATGTAGTAGAGACTGTAATAGGGACCTTCTCCTCTTGAATTAATGTACATCCCTTTACTGTTCTTCTAAATGTTGTATGGTTCTTCCCTTCCCTCTGAGTCCCATTAGTCCTGCAGACACTTCCTAACTACATGAACATGTTATTGATGAAGATCGGGATCCATGTAGTGAGGATTGGTTTTGTCCCAAACAAATGAAAACAGCAGATGCTTAGAAAATAAAGTCAAATTCTTCGTAGTTGGGCTTCACTATATATTAAATGGCCAATTCAAACCCCATCTGAAAATCCATCTGAGGTTTTTGACTGACCTCTGGTATGTGTCCAAACAAGTTTTCTCATTCCCGTATTTTAGTGTAATCTCCAGATTAATTACATCCTGGCAAATAGAAAGTTATTGTTTTCTATACTGACCAAGAAAATAAGCTGAAATTCTTTCCAGTGGAAGAGGACACAAAGCTGGCTTCCTATTCCATGACAGTCAAACACATTTTTAATTTATTTTGTGAATTACACACCATGCATAGAGCTTTTTGAGAAAGATGTATTTTATGAAGAAAGAGAGAATCAAAATGCTGATACACTACACCAGTGCAGTGTATTGGTTAGTGTCCTGAGCTGGAAATGAGAGCCAGTTCAGATCCCTGCTGCTACTGAATTGTGCACTTGAGTCTCAGTCTCCCATGTGGGAGGCAGAGAGCAGAAGAAAGAAAGAGAAGGAAAAAGAAAGGGAAATACATAGCTTTAGACAGATGAAGAAATTTTCATTAAACTAACATGTTCCTTCAACAAATGTTTGCTTTTGCATTTCCCTGGATTTTCTCTGTCCCAGCCAGTCTCAGGAGGTCACTAATCTTCCATGCAGAGGTAAGGACACAGGCAGGGAGCAAATAGGGGACGCATGGGGCAAAACGAAGAAAAGCCACAGTGAATGGGATCAGGGCAAAGACAGGACTGTATTGATGTGTTTGTCAGTAGATACTTACCGAAACCAAACTACCTTTGCTTGACAGATAAAAGGGAGGAAGAATAACAGATTTACCAGGCAAACTGAGAACTCTGATACAACAGCCAATGCATTTAGCATCATGTTGGAACGAGTCCAAAGGAGGGCTACCAAGATGGTCAGAGGGCTGGAACACCTTTCCTACAAGGACAGGTTGAGAGAGTTGGGCTTGTTCAGCCTGGCAAAGAGAAGGTTCCAGGGAGACCTTACAGCAGCCTTCCAGTACCTGAAAGGGGCCTACAAGAAGGCTGGGGAGGGACTTTTTACAAGGGCCTGCAGTGATAGGACAAGGAGTAATATTTGGAAGCTGGGAGAGGGCAGGTTTAGACCAGATACAAGGAAGTTCTTCACCCTAAGGGTGGTGAGACACTTGTACAGGTTGCCTAAGGAAGTTGTGGATGCTCCATCCCTGGAAGTGTTCAAGACCAGGTTGGATGGAGCCTTGAGCAACGTGGCCTAGTGGGAGGTGTCCTTGCCATGGCAGAGGGCTTGGAACTATATGATCTTTGAGGTCCCTTCCAACCCAAACCATTCTACGATTCTATGATTCTGTATTCTTTATGTGCCTTGATCAAATATGTAAAGTTTATACATTTAATCTGAAGAGCTAGAATTTTTTAATAGTTTCCTCTTCTATTGCATGAAGTAAATGAGCAAAACCATAAATGAAACTAAGGCACTTTCCATTTCTTCATTGTTTCAGATGATGGAAAACTGTCCTTTGACGAATTCAAAGCTTACTTTGCTGACGGAGTTCTGAGTGGCGAAGAACTGCATGAACTTTTTCACGCCATTGATACACACAATACTGAGTAAGTGCCCCCTTCACTACAAGTGAAGTGTTTCTAAACCTTGTAGAAATACCTGCATGTTCCAATAAATGCAGTTTGGGTACTGAGAACACAGGGTGGAAACTGTGTTCACCACCCATGACAGTAAGGAAAAGGGGCTGTGGCCTCCTTCAGGATTAAATATGAGTTCCTCAATTCTTGATCCCACTTCACTGATTCATCACATCAGATAAATACTTGGACCAGTTGTTGAGCTGGGGAAAAAAGTGAATGAAGCAGTCATATATAGTAAAGAGCAGAAAAAGCCATCCTGTCTGGTGCTGGTAATTGTGTTGGTGCTGTCACTTAGGCTGTTTGGATGTCCACACTGTGGATGAGCTTAACAAGGCCACAGAGAAATGAGCTGACAGGAACTTCATGAAGTTCAACAAGGTAAGTGCAAAATCATGCTCCAGGGGAGGAACAACCCCATGCACCGATATATGCTGGAGGCCACCCAGTTGGAAAGCAGCTTGGCAGTAAAGGGCCTAGGGTGGACATGATGTTGAACATGAGCTAAACGTGTGCCCTTGCAGGAAAGAAGGCAAATGGTATTCTGGGCTGCATTAGACAAAATATTGGCAGCAGGTCAAGGGAGGTGATCCTGCCCCTCTGCCCAGCACTGGTGAGGCCATACCTGGAGTGTCCATTTCTGGGCTCCTCAGTACAAGAGAGGCATGACATACTGTAGAGAGTCCAGTGAGGGGCCACAAAGATGATTAAGGGACTGGTGCACCTCACATATGAGGAAAGACTGAGAGAGGTGGGAATGTTCACCTTGGAGAGGAGAAGGCCTCATCAATGTATATAAATACCTCAAGGGAGGGTGCAAAGAGGACGGAGCCAGGCTCTTTTCAATGTAGCCCAGTGACAGGACCAGAGGCAATGGGCACAAACCCAAACACAGATGGCTCCCCCTGAACATCAGGAAACACTTTTTTTACTGTGAGGGTGACCAAGCACTGGCACAGGCTGTCCAGAGAGATTGTGGAGTCTCCATCCTTAGAGATATTCGAAAGCCATCTGGATGGTCCTGGGCAACTGGCTTTAGGTGGCCCAGCTTGGGCAGGGGTTTGGACGAGATGACCTCTAGAGGTCCCTTCCAACCTCATTCATTCTAGGATTTTATGACTTAGAAGATAATTAATTTCCTTTTTATTTGCTTTCTGGACGTCGGCAGTTACTCACAGCAGGTCTCCCATTTACTGTTAATTAGGAGGGTGTTACTAAGCTAGTGGTTTTTAAATTGGACTATTCCTGTAGTAGAAAAAGTCCTGAGGAGAGACTGTTTATTGGTTTTGCTAAGAGGTTATGAAGAGATTGTGTAGTGATCATGGTATGGGTTGTGGTTCTGGTTACAAGGAGCGAGTACACAGTAAGTCAATATTGCTTTTCTCAGCTGCATTCAGTGGAGCAACAAGTATTAAGATGCTATCACAGCCCTTCTTCCTGTGTTTACTGTAAGACAAGGTAGGAGCAGTGTAACAGGACCTTAACTCATCCAATGCCAAACTCCATTGGGATTTTTACCTTCCACAAGGAAACAAAACTAACAGGTTGTGATTTTGTAATTCATCTGCTTCATAAACATCCAGACACTAACTCACAGTGTGATATTAGTAGCCTAGTTCCTCAGACTCATGAATTTGGCAAATGCCTTAATACTTCAGGCCTCGCACATTACCCCAGGCAGCTCCAGACAGGCCTTTCCCCTTGGTCAGTTCTTCCTGACAGTGACTCTCATATGGCTTTTTCTCCTTTGGATGTCTGTGTCACTGAATCACACCCCTCCATGTTCCTCTCTTTCACAGTTTCTGCCAGTCCTCTGCAAACAGTCAATTGCCATGACAATTTTGTTTCTCTAGCCCCAAATGCCAACCTGAGCCCACACTCATCTCCCTGGTGGCCTGTCAATGACCAGGCATGATGCTGGCCGTTGACATGACAACTATCCTTGCAGCAGAAGGCCTGGAAGTCCAGCCAAGGGCTTTTTCGGGAACCGTCTCAAAGCTCGTTCTTCTGAAGAAGCCTCACTGAAGGCCTTGTGTGCTTGGAAGCTTGTCCATTTTTTCTACCAATATAAGCTAGTATAATTAATATATTCTCTCTTCTTACAAATTTTGCCTCCTCCTGTCTAGATGGAATTATTAAACCACTTCACTTTTTCCGGAAAGTATGAAGAAAGGAATCAATTGAAGTCTGAAATCTGATCAATATTGTACAAGTGTATGCTAGGGAACATGCATCTCATTTTATGATCTTTCATGAACAACTTCTAGGAGGATAAACATCAAAATTTTTTAAAAGTTTCTAGGTTTTCATTAGCAAATATAAAAGTCTTATTTGGTAAAAAATCAATAGTTACATGAATGCAGATATTATCTATTCAAAGTGTTACTTATTTCAAGCCATTTAAATATTCAGTCTATATGCAGAACTACATTTCTGTACTAAGAGCTTGATTGCTTTTTTATAAACATGTGTGAAGTACTGTTCATGAGCAGTACTGTCTGTGTGATTATATGGAGCCATGAAAAGCCTACAATTAGGAATCCTCTTTTTGATCTGTGTTCTGCAGTCCGAAAAGCATTCATTTAAGCACCTAATTCATATAAACAGAGGAATATATCCCCTAGGAGTAAATGCCTAAATAATTCTGTGGATTTGTTTTCTAGCTCTGATCTCACTTATGTTTCTGTAAATCAGGCGTAACCTCTGCAGAATAATTAGATTTAAGCCAGCACAAAATGGAAGTATGGAATTGGACTCCTAGCCCCAAAGACATCCTAAAGCATCCAGTAAACCATCCTGTGTCGAAGACTTTTGGTACTAGGAAGCAACAAAGACAGGGAAACAGGTTTCCCAGATGTATCATTCTCCTTAACAGACAACAGAAGAGAAGCAGCAATATAAACAGGTTATGTCTTATCATAAGAAAAGAAAAGAAGATTGTCATTATTTCCCTCATTTCCCATATTTCCCTAATTTGTCAAAAGTATTTACATGATATAAATTCAAAACAGAAGGCTGCAGAAATACTGCTAAATAAATAGATACTGTGTACAGAAGTAAGTGTAATATTATAATTTCCTCAGGTTTCTTAAAATAAATGCCAGAGACTGAGAAACAAATGTGATCTTCAACACAATGCATGCAGTCTACCTAATACTAGCAAAATTAATTACATGCTTCTTAGGACACCATGGGAATTTGATTAGCAGATTAAGGGCCATCACAGAAATTTTTAACCCGGAGTCAAAGACTCATTTCAGAGCCAAGGACTCCTTCGTACAGCTTTGGAATTCATCATGTGTACCACATATCTGCATGAGAGTGGTTTTATTTTACCATGATTCCATTTGTCTGCATTTGTCAGGGAGCATTCTGATAAGGGCAAATATCCTCAATGACTATGTAAGTTTTCAAAGAAAAAAGATAGATGTTCTACATCTATTTTTCCTTTCTTTTTATTTGTAAATATTTTTTAATTTGTAATATATTTTTATTTGGAAATTTTTTATTATTTAAACCTTTTTCTCTTTAGGGAATATCTGGACCTGAAAAATATGTAGAAAAGTGAGAATTACATTAAATTTTTCCTACTGGGGTATAGGCATACCTGAAGAATAGGTGCGACTTTGTCAAAAGCTAGTTATTAGTTAAGAACAGGTAATGAAACTGGTATAGCAGCCATCTGAGAGAGAGAGATCATTCTCACTGTCCAGGAAAAGCCTGGCAAAAAGCAGGGCACAAAAGTCACAGAGAGTACATGCTATGAAGGATCATATTTTCATGTATTTCAGGGAATTGAACAGGTGGAAGACTAAGAAAAACTACTGAATTATCTTTTCCAATCAGAAGAAAGGGTTCTTTCTATTGACTGGTTAACATTCATTATAGAGTAGAACCTAGATATAGATAGTAAGAAAACATGCTTAAAACTTAGACTTAAACCAGCAACAAGAAGCTTTTTGAGTATGTTTTTTCATGAAGTCTTTAACTGATAAAAGACTTAGTGCCTGACTTTGCAGCTGAAAAGTGTTCTACATTGCTTGATCTTTAACAGAAGCAAACATGTTTTAAAGGCTTTCCCTTAGCACAGGGGTTGGACTAGGTGATCTCCAGAGGTCCCTTCCAACCCTCACCATTCTGTGTTTCTTTGAAAGATTTTGAGAATCCTGTCATCAGGCAGGCAGCAAGAAGGAGCATGCCAAATATGAGATGGATATAGAAAGAGAGACAGCTTGGACAGTATAATATAAATTCCTTGTTAGTATAGATTTCCAGCAAAAAGCAGATATAGTATGGAGGCAAAAACCTTTACTCACTGGCATTTGCTGAAAAGGGCAGATCATGTAAAATGTCTCAAATTAACCAGCTGGCTAAGGAAAGTAGCAAAATATACATTGAACCTTGGGAAGTTTTGTAATGTAAGCATTAGGAGAATAGCGTACATATCAAACAGTCCCCAAAACACCTGTTTTGTGGTGTTTTCACTTGCAAATTACCCAAGGGAATGAAATGAAAATCATGTTTTGTGCCTATAATTCCCAAGTAGTTTATGGCTGTTTTTTAGTAGAGGAGGGTGAGAAATTCTACTCAGTTGTGTATCTAGTAGGAGAAGATTATTTTGTCTGTTTTACCCAGTTAAAATACAGACTCTGTCAAACTCTGGGCAAATCATTTATCTTCTCTCTGCTTCACTTCACTGTTTACAAAATGCAAGCTGTGGTTCCCTACCCCAGAAATATTTTGTAAGCATTGAGATCGTGCAGTGATTTACACTACACATAAATGCCTAGGACAAGTGGCTAGGGAAGTATGTTGTGATCCGCTAGGTCATTTCTCATAGCCAGCTTGTCACAAGAGCGGACTTTGGGTTGTTTCACTTGCTTTAAATCTTTTAGCTCTGCCAGCATTCAAAACCTTACCATCTGTGTGCATGAGTCTTTGTACTTCAAAGCCTGAAGATAAAAAAAGCA